GTACATTAACTCTACGATCCCTCTGTATGATAGAAGGCAAGCTGTGTTCGTCTATACGAATAGCGTTACAATCAGTATCTTTGGATTTTTGCTGTAGCATCTTTCAATACGACATTAAGTTATTTGTTGTAAGTCCTGTTGGAAAACATGATTAATTTAGTAAAGGATACATTGCTTTTGTTAGTTTAAACTGTATTTATTTCTGGTAATATACAATACATTATATTTTCAATATATAATCAACAACGATTTGGAAACAGGTACTAAGTACTTATACAATGTCCGTTTCGTTACGTTAGATATACGATTCTGACAGCAGATATAGTAATCATTAAATCATATTGAAATAATTAAGTTCTAATGCATATACATAAAATAATTTCGTAGTTATTCCAATGAAACTAATATATCAATTCAGCAACAAATTAGCAGGTTCGAATGGTCGACTCCCTGTTGACATTATGAGTGTGTATTTTGGGAACACTAACAGGCTATATACCGGGTTTAAGCTTTAACTATGATACAAGCTAAATATGTCCTAACACAACGACGTTATTTCTTAGGTTGGTGGTCGGATGCTGTTTGATTCCTTTCTGTGTGAACATCTTCAAGGACGTGATTCATTCCTGTCCGAACTGTCGACACCAACTCGGCGTTTATAGGCGTATGTAGGTAACGGGCGTGGAAGAGTTCATTGCAGGACAGCTTTCAAATGGCCACAAAGGATGTACAAGAGAAGACTATCACCAACCTGCGCATCAAATTTGAAATTGAGATTTTGGCATTACGAATCCTGTATATCGATATCAGTTGTGATAGTACTTTGAATTGTTTGACTTGAGAATGGTTACTTTCTCTACTTTTCACATCAGCAGGCACAAACAAGTTGAGGTTGTGATTCTAGTTTATTTTGAAACAAGTAGAAATAGTGACTCTTTTTCAGAAAATTGACAATTTTTCAATAAGTGTATATTGAAAATGAAAGAAAATCACACACAGGTGATTGCACTTTAAATTTTTTGTATTAAATGCATTTGCCAAAAATTATTTACCTTGCATCGTACAGCTGTTTCCTTCTTCTAGGTCTGATGGGTTATGCTAGGGGCCAAAAAGTTCGAAATCCAAATTGATCTAATAAACAACTATTAAAATAGTAGGAAAGTTACGCAAAACCCCTTATGAATTTCTTAATTAAGATCAATGCTGGTTAATTTAAAATTGAATAAGAAGTAAAGTGTGGATAGAATGAACGGTGCCACTAACGACAAACGTTGGGTACTAAACAATCCATCTTACATGAATATTTAGTATTTATATATTTGAAGGCCCCTCAACCTCGGCAAACCAAAACGCAACAAACCTTAACAAGCACGTGCATCACCCACCTCCACTCGATGCACACGCACTTCGTCTCCCCGACACAGAACAGGATTTAACTAGATTAAACTGTATAACACAAAAACCTCGTCCATGTGACTCGGATATATCAAACTGAAATATAATGCAGTGCATAATATAATATTGTTTTTTGAAGTTTAGAGAAAATGATTTTGTGAATTTTGAAAGTATTAAAATACGTTTTGTTGTGGATTTCCTATTTGTAATTATTAATCATTATCAACGCAGCATTGTTTCACCTCTTTGCAAATGTCATCAATCTTGTTTTAAACTGTCAAAACGGGCGGGATGTTCAGTAAGTCCCCATTATGGTAGACTATACATACACTGACATACAGCTGATAATTATACTTCTCGGAAGGCTAGCTATTTAGAGACGCAGGTGATAATGTGTTTCACGGAAGGCTGGCTATTCAGAGATGAGGGTGATAACAAGTTTTTTTCCTGAACATTGGCTATGCAGAGACGCAAGTGATAATGTGTTTCACAGAAGGTTGACTATTCAGAGACACAGATGATAATGTGTTTAATCGAAGGTTTGCTATTCAGAGACGTAGGGGATAATGTGTTTCACGGAAGGTTGTCTATTTAGAGACGCTCAGACACGAAGGTGATAATGTGTTTCACGTAAGGTTGTCTATTCAGAGACGCTGGTGATAATGTGTTTTTTCTTCTGAAAATTGGCTATGCAGAGACGCTGGTGATAATGTGTTTCACGTAAGGTTGTCTATTCAGAGACGCTGAGAGACGAAGGTAATCAAGTGTTTCACGAAAGGTTGGCTATTCAGAGACGAAGGTGATAAAGTGTTCCAAGGAAGGCTGGCTATTCAGAGACGCATGTGATAATGTGTTTCATCGAGGGTTGGCAATTCAGAGATGAGGGTGATACTATGTTTTTTTCTTCTGAAAATTGGCTATGCAGAGACGCGAGTATAAAAGTGTTTAATGGAAGGTCGGCTATTTCGAGACGGAGGTGAAAGTGTGTTTCACAGAAGGTTGGATACGCAGAGATGCAGTAAAAAAATTGTCTAATCGAAGGTTGGCTATTCATAGACCCAGGTGATAATGTGTTTCACGGAAGCTTGGCTTTTCAGAGACGCAGGTGATAATGTGATTCACAGAAGGCTGGCTACGCAGAGATGACGGTGATAATGTGTTTCATCGAAGATTGGCTTATCAGAGACGCAGGTGATAATGTGTGTCACGGAAGGCTGGCTATTCAGAGACGCAGGTGATGTGTTTCACGGAGGGTTGTCTATTCAGAGACGCTCAGTTACGAATGTGATAAAGTGTTTCTCGAAGGTTGTCTATTCAGAGACGCTGGTGATAATGGGTTGCACGGAAGATTGACTTTTTAGAGACGCTCAGAGACGAAGGTGATGACGTGATTCAAGGAAGGTTGTCTATTCAGAGACGCAGGTGATAATGTGTTTCATGGTAGGCTGGCTATCCAAAGACGCTCAGAAACGCAGGTGATAATGTGTTTTACGGACGGCTTGCTTTTCAGAGACGCAGGTAATAATGTGTTTCACGAAAGGTTGTCTATTCAGTGACGCAGGCGATTATGTGCTTCACCGAAGGCTGGATGTTCAGAGACGCTCAGAGACGGAGGTGATAGAGTGTTTCACGGAAGGCTGGCTATGCAGAGACACAGATGATAATGTGCATAACCGAAAAAAGAACATGCATTGACATTGTTCAAAGATTTGCTTCACGAAGGCTTGACACTGTTTGACATGGTTGCGAGTTATTCGTCACGGATTCAGATGGAATAACTGACAAATATGCTGCACAGAAGGCGTGGCATGCATTATATAATTAGCAGTGATTGATTAACGGTTGAAAATTATTGAAGTTCTTTGAATATGCTAGGCGAAATAGGAATCAGATTGACAGAAGAACATGCCGACCGGTTATAGTCCCTTCACTTTAATAGCTTGTTTCATCAGTATGTATATTACAATATCACGCGACATTTTACGAACTAATAATACTGCTAGTTGAATTCAATAGAGGTGCTAACTGTCGCGTGTTGAAACGTTCGCAGTTTAAGGTTCAACAAGCCCCCTAATAGATGATTTAGTCAGCCTAAATTTCAACCCTCTGATAAGTCATATCCAAAGAACTCAATTATACTCAATTATATGTTATTTCAATATGTTGAACTTGTACATTGGCTATTAAATAATACATAGCCATGTTGACATAGTCGATAATATGGCCTAAGACTGACGTTTTCATGAAAAAAATCCATCGAACTTATAACATGTCAATTTCTTTTGCGACAAAATTGATTGCTAATAAATGGCACATAATTTCAAGTTTATTTATATACCTAGGTCATGCAGAGCTATATTTCTCTTCTTTTAGCTGTTGGGAGGAATTCCGATCTAAAATCAAGATAGATGTTGCTATGCCAAACCACTAAAACCATAGTAAAAATTATTTTTTAATATATTACAATAGTCATATTAGTCATCTTGAACTTTAGATGAAATGTCATTTTATAGTATTCTGTGACATGTTATAAACATTAAAACTAAAAAGTGCGATAATGTTTATAACAAGTCTAGCGTTTTTATAACAACATTAAATGCTAAAAAGGGCACTTTGTATGCGGTCTATGTAGCTGTTATTGTCATAGGTCTATGGTTTTACACATATACCAGTAACATATGTTACCCGGACATATTGCTATGCTATTTGTACATTCCCATAGCCACAATCATCTACTTTTGAAGCCGGTATGCCTCTCCACACCTAGTTTAAGAGAAATAGGCTCCGCATGACATAGGTATATAAATGAACTTTAAATAATATGTTATTTCGTAGCATTCAGTTAGGTCGCTAAAGAGATTGACATGTTATAAGTCCGGTGAGCTATTTTCATGAAGACATCAGCCTCAATGCTAAATTATTGACTACGTTAACCTGGCTTTGCAACCTTTCTAATAGCTAATGTACAAATTTAATATATTTGAATGACTTATATATCTTTAATAAGGGTATTTGAATATGACTTATCAGCGGGTTGGAACTCATGATGATTATTACATATTTTAGGGGGCCTGTTGAACCTTAAACATAATCGTGTATGCATAGTTTCCAGAGACTCAACGCGAAAACGCAGGCATTTCCAAACTTTCAAAACTTTTACAGTACACTTTTAGTTAAACACAAGGGTTCGTTAGAACGTCTAATACACATATTCTACACTGAAATGGGTCCCAGCACACCTCATCATAGGGCCTAAATTGTACATGATTAGGTGTGCTGTGACCCATATCCGTATAACATGTGTATTTTAGACATTTGTAACAAATCTCTGTGGTTTAAAGGTTCACTTCTCCATTTATAAGTATGACTATTAAGCGGTTTATAAAGCCATGAAGTAAGCATGCAAAGTTCTCAACGTAAGCCGTCTTTTATATGACATCACTGACTTTTGACAAAGTTCATGTATTACTGTAATAACATTTTAAGTATCATACATGTTAGTGAATACTTCAGATACAACGAAACATCCTTCACCCAGCTTTCTGATTATGTTATAGTCAAACCAATCCGGGTTTCCCCCTATTTTTAATTTGGTCAACGACGGCTTGAACTGGTTAAACAGGTGAAGTAAAACCCATGCCCTCGGCAGGTAAATATCGTGTTGACGTTTGTTCCGAGTGAAAATTTCAATGGAGTTTGAACTCCCTAGTCCTAATTCAAACATACGAGTATTATATATCGTTTTAACGATCGTCCAATCAGGAACATAGATTTGTGATATCAGTGATGCGTTTACACTAGACCACGGGGTCAACCTCGCCAGCCACAAAGAAAATATTGACAACGCCATGGATTACACAACTAACACAATTTCTCTCGAGGATATCGAAGGAGCACGGAAAAGATTGGTTGGAAAGGTCCAGAAAACTCCACTAATAGCGCTGAATTACCTGGTTCCTGATGTAAATGTAGGTGTTTTTCCTTAAAAATATTATTGTTACATATATATATATATATACTCATGTGCACTCAATGGGCAATGGAGAGGGATCATGCACATATGTAGTTAAATAGACGGATCGTAATCTAAACTACATATAGGTGGAGAAAAATCGAAAATAGATGATAACAAGGCATCACACGTGATACAAATCCCCTCGCATTCACACATTGTCATATATGTATGAGGAAATGAAGTCGCTAGAGCGACTGCATTTTTTCTCTCTAAACATAGTAACAGTGACATTGACCTTCAATGTAGAAACCCGAAAGGAGTACTTATTCAAGGCAATGTCATACCAAAACCTTGTAGGAAATTTCATTAAATTCCATTGAGGAATGAAGTCGGTAGATCGATGACCATGTTTTTCTGAAAATAGTAAAAGTGACCTTGACCTTTAACGCAGTAACCTGAAAAGCGAACTTGTTCAAGATACTGCCATACCAAACACTTGTATCAAGTTTCGTGAAATTCCGTTGAGAAATGAAGTCGGTAGAGCGATGACAAAGTTTTTTCTAAAAATAGTGACAGTGACCTTGACCTTTAACGCAGTAATCTGAAACGTGAACTTGTGCAAAGCATTGCCATACCAAACACTTACATTGAGCTTAATGAAATTCCGTTCAGTAATGAAGTCGCTAGAGTGATGACAAAGTGTTTTTCTAAAAATAGGTACAATGACATTGACCTTCAATGTAGAAACCCGTAACACAAACTTGTTCAAGATACTGCCATACCACACACTTGTATCAAGTTTCAAGGAAATTCCGTTGAGGAATGACGTCGGTAGAGCGATGACAAAGTTTTTTTTCTAAAAATAGTGACAGTGACTGACCTTTAACGCAGTAACCTGAAACGCGAACTTGTGCAAACAATTGCCATACCAAACACTTACATTAAGCTTAATGAAAATTTCGTTCAGTAATGACCTTGACCTAGTTCAGTTTAGAATGAATACTAAATAGGAAGTTTGTTTGAATACAAACAGTAATTGAAAACGTATTTAGCGAGCCTTGTCTGTTTGCTTTGCCAACAAAAATATTGCAAACTACCGCACGGTGGCTCGACCAACAATACATGAATCAGATACCATACAACCTAATTAGCATAGAGCTATTAAATAAATAATAATGAAGACTCATGAACAACCTAACTGAAGTCACTAATATATAATCAACCAAACTAATTACACACACATTTTACTGCAATATAGTTGGTCAAAACCGTTAGATATATCTAATATATAGTAGGCTGAGAATAATTGAGGACAATATCAAGTTAAGACAAAACAGTATAGTAATTAAACAAATGGGCGATACTGTCCTCAGTGGACTAGGATAAATCGTAGGTACAAGCCTCGTCTGTCAATACACACATACTATTATAGCATGGGTGTTTTGACAGACGAGGCGTGTATCTGTGGATATAGCAGGTAACATTATAATATAAACAGGATGAAAACAGAGGTAGCTCCTGCCTTGCCCAATGGTGATGACCCAGAAACCCACCTCGTGATAAGACAATAATATATACATGAACATGGATGACCTCAATCATAGGAAGGACGATATTCAGTGACGTTAAATATATCACCAGGTGGATAATAACGTGTCTAGTTAATCGGGAAGGATTCATTATCAATTTCGACAACTTTCACAAAATTGTTATTTACATTTTTCTTTAGCTTAAAAATGTAATCGCTTTTTTCTGACGCAGTTCGCTTATATTTTTTTCAACATTTAAAAAAATCTTTGATAACTATTACTTCTGACGAGATATATAGTGGAAAAGCAATAATAAGATGTAATAACGAGATATTTATAAAAACGATATTTTAACACGGTTATAACAAGATACCAAACCTTTTGAACGATATACTTCACCATTTGAACGATAAATTAAGATGTAGGAAAGAGATACCAAGTCATGGTGATTTTCCTCCACTGTTCTCTGTAACTTATCAAAGGCAACTTCTACTGAACTCCTGCTCTAAATGATAATTATTTTCCATTAAATACTCATACTTTCCTTATTGTCAAAGACTCGATATCAGTAAAAAAAAATGTAAGTATTCTGGAGATGGTTTAGAGATTCATTAAAGATACTAGACGCTTTTACTAGATTACCATTATTTATCTATTACCACATGACTTTGCTGTGTAGAATGATAACAGCACAGAAGTGTACGTTGTTCAGTATGTGCTGTCCATCAACAACATTTTACAGATGTTTGTGTCATCTAATTTATGTATCAACAATTTTCAAACAAATAATAATGACATGCCATTCTTAATATATATAACATATACATATATTTTATCATTGCTGCAATATGATATGTGTAAATTGTTTAGTACTGTAAGGAGAGGGCGCTGATAGGTTTTGTCTGTTGCCCAAATCATTTGTATCCAAGATCGAACAATATTTATTCTGAATAAAAAGACACCAAATTATCATTACGAGATATTAAGTCGTCATAAAAATATTCGAAGTCGTGAATAATTATATTTTAAAACATGGGGATATAAACACACATAAACGAAAAATTAACAGTATGTTTTAATTAAGATTTTTATATTTAAACAGATATATCTGAAATTGGAAAATCTTCAACCAATTGGTTCGTTCAAAATACGTGGAGCTTGCAATGCATTGGGAAAACTGTCAGCCGACCAGCTCAAAGAGGGTGTTTATACCGCGAGTGCTGGAAACTTTGCCCAGGGATTGGCCTGGAATACTCAAAAACTGGATATACCCTGTAATGTGGTCGTCCCTGATCATGCTCCCGCCACTAAGCTAGCAGCCATTGAGAGACTTGGGGGTCAAATTGTTAAGGTTCCGTTCAGCGAGTGGTGGAAGGTTTTGGAGACACACAACTTCGATGGAATGCCAGGAACATTTGTACATCCCGTGTCTGACCCATCAGTTATAGCAGGTACATTACACAGGCCATCCATACGTGCACTTCAATCGGGAACCGTCGGTATTTTCTCGTTTACGGAAAAAACCGACGACTCCCGATTGGCGTACATTTCATAAGATGTTTTATTTTAAATAATAAAACTATGTTCGTCAGCTAAAATACTGTTTCTATTCAACCAATTATAATTAACACAAAGTTAACAATATGCGTGTATTTGACCAAAAGCAGACTAATTTCTATGACATAATAGCCCTTACATCACATTATAAAACATTTCGGTGGCGGGACTGCGGGACTGTTGGTAGATCCAATGTCCTGCCGGCTATTTATTGATGACAATATGTTGCTATGGGTACTTGAGCTTTACAGTTGTACAGCTACAGTCAAATGTTCTACAAGTATTTATCCGTGACATTCATGTGTACACGTGTTTACCTATTTTTTAGGCAATGGGACCATTGGTTTGGAGATATTTGAAAGTTTGCCAGAGGTCGATGCCATCATCGCTCCATACGGCGGAGGAGGTTTGTCGTGTGGAATCGCGTCGGCTGTCAAAGCACTTAAACCGGAAGTGAAAGTCTACGCATGTGAAGTCGAAACAGCAGCTCCTCTCAAGGCATCCATGACTGAGGATAAACCTGTCCAGTTTGATTACAAGGCTTCCTTTATTGACGGTATGGGAGGCAAATCGGTCCTAACAGAGATGTGGCCGTTGGCTCGAAGACTTCTGGACGATTCCATCGTTGTCAGTCTACAGGAGGTTGTGGACGCTTTGAAGCTGATGGCCGAGAGGAACCACGTGATCGCAGAAGGTGCAGGCGCAGCCCCTCTTGCTGCAGCCTTGTCAGGAAAGGCAGGAAAAGGGAACATCGTGTGTGTGGTGTCCGGTGGTAACATTGACACGGATAAATTAACGACTATATTACAAGGAAAGATACCCCACTGATGTCGCAAGAACAATATGGCTGCTCACAACAGTCCCTTTTACCATGCTTTTAAGTTAAGTGAAGATATGTACATGTCAATATACCAATTACTTCATTACTTAACGCTATGGTTTGAACTTTTAAGATGTTAGCTGCAATAAACTAAAAACAATGCGTTCAACAAAAGTCATATTTTTTATTATTTACATATTGTGTGGGTACATGAGGAAACTTCATGCACTTTCTGGATGATAAGTTTGTTGTATTCATTTCTAGAAATGTACTGAACGGTAGGCTATGAGTAAGGGAATCAAGCATTTCAAAGTTTACTTTTGTGCCTAAACAATACGCAAAACATACCACAAGATTTATACAGCGTGTACAGATATGTACAAATTTGAGAGCTTATCATGTTTTAAGATACATTGAACATTCAAAAGAGGTCGAAGCTATTTGTCTTGCAACTGTGTAAGATTGCCTTGCAACATTTAGATGGAAGGCAACTGTCAGCATGTAGCACACCAGATACGCAGAATGGATCCAATATAGAAGTTGCGCTAGGGACTCGCATCTTGCAACATTTAAAGATAAATCACGAGTTTATCATTTGTGACTGCAAAATACCGATCTGCTCAGCTTTCCACTATTGGCTCACACTCTTTTCAGTGTAAGTCTTCCGAACAGTTGATGTTACGAACTCGGTGGATACAAGACCAACAGTTGTGTCCCGCGCACGAGTGAATATATACGTCCGCGCACGAGTGAATATATACGTCCGCGCAATAAATGAGTGCTTTCTGATTCGTTAGAAAAACACAAGTGTTTGGTCTTGCTTTTATCACATACCTTTCGTATTTGGTAGAGATCGATACAAAGATTATATAAACTTTAATATTATTTTGCAAATTCCGGGAACTTTTCAGTTCGCCATGACAAGGGGATTCCCATAAATAGATGTTCCGGCTAGTAGGTAAATACAACATTCCGTATTGCACATGTGCAATACAGAACGTTGTATTTCATGGTCTAAAAATGGCTTGTATTACTATAACAAGATTCAGCAGGTATGTGATCATAATAATAATTATGCTCATATATGCGTATTTAACATCATTATATATCATTATGTATCAAATGGACCCACGTCCCAAATAAAACAAGAGGCCCAATGGGCCTGAATCGCTCACCTGGTATTAATCTCACACTTGTAATCTTAAAAGTGGACTAAAATACAGCTACAGGCAGAATATCAGTGTTTGATTCATAAGAACCTATTAAAAGATTTAAACATATGACGCCTGTGACCTTGAATGTCGAACAAAGACATTAGGTTGAACAGAGTTTAAAGTCTTCCAACCCAGCATGCTTTTGGCAAAATATCATAACCCTGGTTATACAGAACAAGTCATTTAAAGATTTAAACATATATTGACCACTGTGACCTTGAATATGGGCGAAGGTCATTTATTTGAACAAACTTGGTAGCCCTTCATTCTAGTTTGCTTCTGGCCAAATATCATCACCCTATGCCTTTTGGTTATTAGGAAGAAGTTGTTTAAAGTAAAATATTGACGCCGGACGACGGACGACAGACGACAGACGACGGACGACGGACGGACGGACGCCGGACGCTGCACCATGGCATAAGCTCACTTGGCCCTTCGGGCCAGGTGAGCTAAAAACAACAACACTGGGCAAGTCGGGCACAATTGTTTTCTCATATCATTATGATGTATGTAATTTTAAAACAGCTATCGTATATTATCCTCGGATATGTTCGATTTGGGTCTATACTGAGAAAATGAAATATAACAATTTCAAACATAAATCAAAGCGAAATCACATGTTAATTTAATTAGCTGTGGTGTAATTTATCGTGAAAGGGAGAGGATTAAGAATAAGAGCTTTGGGCTTAATTTGTATCGGACTATCAACAATAAGTTTCCTAGTTCCAATTTAACACAGAGGAGGTCAAGAAAATGAAATAGTCTGTACGGAACGTAAATTACAGGAACAACTTCAACGGTCCCGGTGAAGAAATTCTGTTTATATTGTTAAACGACCTTCAGTTGTCACAATATCACGCGACGTTGTCCAAGCTCAGCTGCATCTACTTCTAGCAAAAACACGTTTTGTTCTTTCCATACCCAACACATATTATAAAGTTGAATTTTAATAAAATAAATACAGAACAAGTAATTACGAGAAACTGTGGGAAACCGAGATAAATTAGCATTGCCTACACTTATTTAAATGCCACTAGGCATCTAAAACGTTAACCCTTTCAACACTGTAGACCATAATAGACTCATCCAAATCCATGTATGGTAGAGTCTACTAAAGTTACCTAGGGGTGAAAGGGTTAAACTATAACTGGACACTGCAGCACAACCATCAACGCCTGTTTCTTGCTCCCCTTACGTCCGTTATAGTCTAGTAATCATTATGGCTGTGTTAGTAATAGGATTTCATATCAATTTGTCAAAGGCCAAAAGAATGCTATGGAGACTCGGGAAGAATTTCGGTTACCCGCTTTTCTGAAGAGATTAAATTCATAAGGTAGTTATACAAAATTATAAATATCTTGCTTTTGATCTCAAAAAACATTTATCAAACAATCAAGAAAACTATGAGTTGTGCCAGCTGTAAAGCTTCTAACAACATTAATTATGTTTGTTAAACTATTGATTCAACGAAGCAATCTCAGTTTGTTGAACAAGGTTGGCCCCTAATCATCATTGGTTACACCACCTTAACATGTCCTGCCATCAAGATATTAACCAATCATTGTATTTATAAAAATATGGAATCTGGCGCAGATTCAACTTCCATATGTCAGATCCCTAAATTGGGCAAAGGCGGTGTATTGCAGTAGGACCCCGTTACTCTCATTTATCAGATGATTTTTCAGATTCCTTACATTACTGTTTTGAAAATAATAAAACAATTGTAGCCTTTAAATTCGGTCGATACCTGGATTTATCGACCTGAGAAAAGATATGTTAACCGAGGACACAGTCCTTACCTGGATTTATCGACCCTAAAAAAGATAAATTGACCGAGGAAGAGGATTGCGTACTCGGTCAATATATCTTTTCTCGGGTTGATAATCCAGGTATCGACCTCAGTCAAAGGCTATAATTGAATATTATCACGTATTCAATAGATATATCCGTAAATTCAAAATTTGAATTGGTGATTTCTCTTAATAGGTGATATCACAGGTTTGTTTTGAAAGTGTGTATCTGTTATCTAAATCATTGGAATTCCTGAATAGATGAAATAATAAAATAAGGCACTATATCTTTTAGGATCTTTCGCTTGCTCAGTTACATTTTGTAAAGCACTTGTACAACTGCATATTGTAAAGTACTTGTTTAACTACATATTGTAAAGTACTTGTTTAAATTCATATTATAAAGTACTTGTTTAACTTCATATTGTAAAGTACTTGTTTAACTTCATATTGTAAAGTACTTGTTTAAATTCATATTGGAAAGTACTTGTTTAACTTCATATTGTAAAGTACTTGTTAAACTTCATATTGTAAAGTACTTACCAAACTTTACTGAAACTTTTACATTTAACGCAGTTCAAGACGGACTTCAAACATGTTCAAGAAAAAGAAACAAACTTACTATTTGGATGTTACTTTCCTGACAGGGTTGATTAGAACTTCAGAAACTTTTCTGCACAATCAAGAATATATGTCATGCTTGATACAGCGACCGGATACATGGAGATTGGTTTTATTTTGTTGGACGTCCTATTAACAGCTAAGGTCATTAAGGATGATGCATGGAGAAGCAAACATAAATACCAATCTATCTAATGAGGTAAACATCATCAATATATAGCGTTATATATATGATATATGGGCAGATTGGTCGAGTGGTTTACACTCCGGCTTTTCACGCAGGCGACCGGGGTTCGATCCCCGATGTCGTCGTACGCATGGATATTCAGAGAAAGCGTTTTTCTCCTGTCCACACAACTTCAACAACCCAGGTGGAGTATAAATTGGTCTGGGGTGGATGTTGCGGTACCTGTGCTGTAGCATTCAAGTGAGGTGGCACTATAAATGATGCCGTTGGAAGCACGGTCCCACTACAAACAGAACACGTTACATATCCAGCACACACGCAGGCATACACACATAGGGAGATTCTAGCCAGGTGGCATAGGAATAATAGTTAGCGCCTGATAAGACAGCTCTTGCGAATTCCTCAAAACTTGTTTTGATGTATGTATATGCTTATTGTATTCAGTGTATATCTATGTACTGTAAAGCGTTTTAGAGTGGCTTATGTTAGCTAGATTATATAATTATAATAATGATATATCATATACTATATAACTTATCATATTCTATATAGGATATTTCATATTTCATATGCAAGTTGTTTCGTATATTTCACGAAGTACATGATTAACATTACTCTTTGGATAGCTGGCTTGCTATGAATAGGGGAATCCCCCCGTCTCAACCCTAGGGCGGAGACAGATAAATCTAGCACCGGCAAAACGGGAGATAAATCTGTCAGGTGTGGGAGAATAATAGAATCATTCACCCCCTTTGGGGTGAGATAGGGGAATCTCAACCCGAGGGGGAAGATTCTTATGTTGCCAAACACGAGGCTTTGCCGAGTGTTTGGCAACTTAAGAATCTTTCCCCGAGGGTTGAGATTCCCCTATCTTACCCACAAGGGGGTGAATGATTCTTTTTCTCTTACATGTACCCTGTTTTCCCCAATGTGTATCATATACACAATGTAATGATAACGTTACATGCTAAATTCAGGGTTGACGTGACGTTGATGGATTGTTGACGTGACGTCATTGTATTGTTGCAGTGACGTCATACCATTGTTATAAATAGGGGAATCCCCCCGTCTCAACCCTAGGGCGGAGACAGATAAATCTAGCACCGGTAAAACGGGAGATAAATCTGTCAGGTGTGGGAGAAATGCATGTATAACACTAACCGTAGTTCAAGACGGACTTGTGTTGTAGACGTCGTTGTTTCCGCTTCTTATCGCGCATCTTAAGTTTGTTTTACTGTTCCTTCCGGTTGTTTTAAAGTCGGGAAAGTTCTTGAGATATCCACTATATACCGATTTAAAAAGCAACTATTTGCAATTATAAATAATTTTAGAGAATCAACAGACAGCAGTCCAAAGTATGCCAATATAGCTCAAACA